AATTGGATTTTCTCATTTTGTGTTTAGCATATTAAGTCTTGAGACGTTTTGCTTGGTTTCATGACAGTGCAAGTAGGTGCCAAGTGCTGCATTAAAACAAGGAGAAGTTTCAGTTAAACTGAGGCACCCAGCTCAAACTTATTCAACAACAAGAGAAGAAACCCCAGGAAAAAATGTAATTGTTATAAATAACACTGCCATGGCTTATCATTGACATTTCTCTTTCATTTTGGCCAATGTAGCAAAAGTTTTATTGTTATTTGGAGTGTGTTGATGACTTAGGATAATTGGAAGATTGAACATTCAACTTCTCTGGGAGTATTATGGTCTAGCTGCTTTAGTTTTTGTTGGGTGGGGACTCTGGAAGGCATCTGGTTTGAATTTACTATCTTCCAAGATACTCTCCCATTTATTATCATTAGTATACTATTAGTTATTAGAAATAGCATACTAATGTAGCAGCTATGCAACATGAGTGGGAATAAATTGGAAAAGGAATACAGTGGTTTCCTTAGTGCCCTCTCTCGACACAGGGCAGCAGGGGCTACAGCCTGAAATACCGTCCGTGAGAGCAGTTAGATGTGAATGAGTGAACCAGCCCAGTGTAAGCGCTCAAATGGAAACTGACAAGCAACCTCATTTCTGAGAGGCAACAGGGAGTGGTGGGGACAGTGGTAACGGTGGAGAACACACTCTACATAAATGAGTCAGCCACTTCTCACTCAGTTCCTGCCACATTAGAACAAAAGGCTGGTGTTGCCAGATCTTCTGATTTCACAAGAGAATTAAGAAATACTGTTTCTCAACCAAAATGACCGTCTGTAGAGGAATGGATAAATAAACTCTGGTACATGTACACAATGGAATATTATGCATTGCTGAAAAGCAATGATGAGTCTGTCAAACATCTCCTGATGTGGATGAATTTGGAAGACATTCTACTCAGCAAAGTTAGTCAATATCATAAAGACAAATACTCTATGAGACCACTATTAAAATAACAAAAAATGTTTTTCACACCATAAGAAGCAGACTTTGAAGGGAGGCTGGGGAGGTGGGGAAAGAGGAAGAAGGGGGACAGGGTGGTGAGAAAATTTTAAAAGAAATCTAGTTTCTATGTGAAATTGTCCTAAATTTTAAATGTTGGTGACTTGTTACCAAGCATGAAGTCGCTTTAGGAGAAGAGTTTGTGGGTCAAACATAACATGCCTGCAAGCCAGATTCAGACCACCGTCTGCGTTGTTTGTTCACTCTGCCCATCACCTGACAGCAGAGGAACCCAGTTTCGCACTGACCTGTGTCTAGCAATGACTTCATCACAAGCAGCTTTTGTCAAATATCTATGACACAAAACTCACTTCCATCGAGGCGATGCTGACTCATAGCGAATTTACAGGACAAGGTAGAACTGTCCCTGTTGAGTTTATGAGACTGTAACTCTTTACAGGAGTAGAAAGCTCTGTCTTTCTCCCAAGTGTGTGTAACCACTATACCACCAGGCATAGTATCCCATCATTGCTACTAGCAACAGCTAGTAAATGGCTATTATTCAAATCATCTAGAAGTCTTCCAAAATATATATAATATTAACATACCAATAGAGAATTTATCTAGCAGCGTTTGAACCTTACCATGAGTTACATGGCAACGTAAGCCCAGGTTGCAATTCAGAAAGCTGGAGCAGAGAACAATGAAATAGACCAAAGAGACAAGGTCACTAGGAGAAAGTTGGGGCTGTCTGCCGCCAGAAAGATTTAAAGTCCCAGAAACCCCACATAGGATTGCTAGGAGTCAGAATTCACAAAAGAGCTGTGGGTTTTGTTTTGGATACAAGGCGATACAAGTAAGGTCATACAGAGCAAACCTGAGATTAAAACTCCAGTTTATTTCCTCCGAATATGCGTTTTCCATGGTTTGGAATTACTACCTTTATATTCCAGGCTATCAAATTTCATATTGAATTCAAAGACAAGAATAAAATATATGCAACATTCCACTTTTAAGAAGTTAAATTATATGCATTTTGCCCTCCTGAAAATTTTGTAATCAGATAAAGGAAGTTCAGATAAAATGAAAACATGTGCATGTGTGTTTTCATTGAACTTTGGATTACTTTATGTAGATTTAACAGTTTTTCTCTTATTGGCTTGTTTTTGAAACATTACAAGATGAAGAATATATTAGCTAAAGAAATAAAGAACATTACCCAAAAATCACCATAGCTATTATGTCTTTTATTTGTGATGTTTTTCTAAACTCACACAAAGTTGATTTCATAAATAAATTTTATTTTGCTTTTCTAATGATTTAATTGGATTAGTTGTTTTGCTTATAGTGAAATCCTTAATGTTATCACAAGTGGAACTAAAATAGAGTAAACATTATTTATGATGCAGTCAGAAATGATATGGAAAAATCTTTCCAGGCAGATCATTAAAAGCTTATCAAAACAGCTTAAAAGCGTGCTTAGAAATGTACTCTTTCCTGTAAGCATTATTTTTTTTAAAATCCGTATTTATTCATTGAAAACGTCTTACCCAAAATTAATACCTTCCCAGAGGGGAGTAGCCTATTATATAAAAAAATTTTCTGTTGATATAGATATATTTTTTAATGCAGGAGCAGTAAAATCGCCATTTCAAAATGCATTTTGTTTGGGCAATTCTAAAAGAGAATCACCTATTTCAAGACCAAAGATATCAAAATATGAAGGACAGCAGCATTATCCAAATGATACCTCCAACGTCCTATGTGTCTTTGAACACATTTCTTGAAGATGCGCTCATACTTCTATAATATCTATTATTCCACAGTGTGATACCTGTAGGTGCAGAAGTTAACTACTATAATCTGATTGCATCCTGCATTAAAAAAATTTTTTTAAAACCTCTAAAGAACATCTTTGGAACACTTCAGAAAATTTGACTGTCTCATGTATTAGCTATATATCATAAAGATGATTAATTTGAGGGGTGTGATAATGATATTGCAGATACGGGGGATGTCCTGATTTTTAGGAGAAACAGGAGGAAGCATTTCAAAGCTTCACAGTTATCTGCACATATTTCCAAATGGTTCAATAATAAGCATGTAGATTTATAGACAGAAAATGTGGGAAAATGTTAGCAAATGGTGCATTTAAGGCAAAGGGTGTTCTCTGGAATCTTTTGACTTTCAAATTTCAGCGCTGAAATTTGGGGGGGGAAAGGAGAAACACCTGGGGCTGAACCACAGAGCAACTGGGGAAAAAGCCAATCAGTCTGGGGTCCAGGGTCTGGGGAGGCCCTGAGGGCTGCAGGGCATTGAGGGTCCTCATTTACAAGTAGAGATACAGCCCCTACGACCCCATCAAGACAGAGATGAGCAGCACCTGCGATGACTTTCAGTAGAATTTGCCGGACAAAGGACTGTGCCAACAGGAATGTCCTGGAATTAAAACATGAGAGCAGTTTGCTACAACTTACTCTGGAAGAGCTAATTAGTGCAATTAGCAACATAACCAGGAGGAAATGGTTCCAAGAAGCTTTAAAAAATATATATAAATTTGGATTTTGAAAATGAATGGAAATTCTGAATTACAAGTGCCTTCAGATTCCAGCCTCCAATTTCATTAGCTATTACTGAAGAGTGGGAACATCAAACTTTTTAATACAAAAAGCCACGGTTGGTTCCCATGGTGCTCCATGCCATCCTTTCTGTCCCTCTGTCCTGCTTGCCCAAGTGGGACTGCTCTATTGCACGTGTTGGGGATTACGGGGTCTGTGTTTCTGTTCGTGGCATCTTTCCGACAGCCAGGTAGTCCTTCAGCCAAAGTGATGCCGAGAAAACGTTCTACATGCCGTTGTCCTCTCAGAGATACTCAGGTAACAAGACAGAAAACACAGCTGCTGTTGACCCACATGCAAAGACGTTAGCATCATTGGATCCCAGGAGACCACCTTTCTAAGCTTTGCAGTAAGGGTTGGTCAGCTCATTTAAGTCAATGGAGAAGGCCACCCTGCGCAGTCAGCCCTTTCTTAGTTTGGACAAAGATCGTCCACTGTTTCAGGCCTCTCAGGGCAGCCACGACAAGGCTTCAACTCATTAGGGATTAAGAAAACGAGTCCAGAGCTACTTAGTTATTCTTTAATAGTTATTACATTGAAATGTACGCATACATTCTGGTTTATTTCCCACCACCAACCAATAAGTTTTGTTAAATTCGGATCACTTAAAGGGGTAGCACCCCCGGCACAGGCTACGCGGACCACCACGATTCTGTGAGTGGGAGAAGGCATCGTTGTCAACAAGCAAAGCTCACTGAGGCTTCGAAAGGCAAGACTTAACCCAGACGGCACGATTCTGCCTGCCGACTGGAACAGAAAACTTGGACAGGGTCGAAGAAGGCAGTTAGCTCCAGCTCCACTGTTACCCTGGCAACTGGGGTGCAAACGTGGGGGCAGATATTAACCGTGTGCCGCAGTGTGATACGGCGGAGGTGGAGAGGGGGAAGGAAGGAGAACCTCTGCCGGTTTAGGAGCTCGGAGCACTAGGTGAGAAGGGTCCGAATCAGAGATTGATGGCTTCATCTACACGTACCAAATAACCAATTGCACTTTCTTCTTCTCTGACAGTTTAGTATTATGTTAAAATGGACAACTCCCTGCCCTTAAAACACCAAACAGGGCTCGGATCGCGCTGGGAGATCGCAGTGCTCCTGTCTGTTTCAGACTCTCTTCTGGGAACCCAGAACTGAACCCGAATGGAGGAACAAGGGCTGAGAGTGGCTATTAGGGAACACTGTTGAGACGCTAAACTTCCGAGTGAGCCGGTTAACTCTGGAGTCTCCTGCTCCGGGCCAGTCTTTTCCTTGCGGTTGAAGCCTAAAGAGACAGTCTGGGGCAAAGATACGCCC